TTGACTTTGACTACAGGTCTTATTCATATTTTTGGCCATCAGACCCCACAGCATAAACCACGTCAGCTTCATAAAACCAATCATTCCTTCACGACAAATTGCTCCAGCCTCCAATCAGAATCACGGATGCGCAATAAAAATTACGTATCGACCAATTACGGACGACCTGGCTTTCAGTTTGATTGAAAGCCATTGGCTAATGAAATGTATGCTTCGTTATGTTGCACGATTCAGTAATTAATGGTATTGCAATGGTCTTTTATGGAAGTGGTTGATTTTTCGGAAGAATCAATTGAAACAATGGATTAATTATTATTAGTACCTACATCAGATAATGAGCGCAATGTGGTCTTTATAAGGTTTATAAGGTGTCGTGGTGACCCGGAGGTTTAAGACGCCCACTTCTCATGCATGATTGTGCCGGTGCGTCTTCGAAACCTACCAACGGCAAGTACGAATGTGACTTTTTCCGAGTTATATGTACTTTCTAAGATTATTCAGACACCAATGATAAAAGGTGAAGGAAAACATCGTGAGGAAACCTTATAATTTCTAATTATAAGTTTGAAATCACCAACTCGCATTGAGCAAGCGTGGTGATTAATGCTCAGGCTTTGCTCAGCAGTGGACATTTATAGGCTGTTGATGATGTGGTCTTTATGGACTTGTAATTAGCTTTTTGTTAATGGAATTTATTTTAATTTAGTACCATACCAACATGGTATGACTATCCTAATGAACGTTATAGACAGCTTTTTTGCTATACAGTGTGTAAACGTAAGGCTCCCGAAAAATGCCGACAGGTGATGATCAAAAATAAGCTTTATTTTAATAAAAGTAAGGAATTAAATGTTTCTTTTATGTAATAAGAGTTGTAATCAACTGCTCAAGGTTGATGTTGCATGAATAATATGAAAACAAAGACGATTACAATTGTTAAATCAATTTCTTTTTGTCAGCTTTTCGGGAGAATTTCATTCACAGCCTGTATACGTAAGTTGTTTATTTTTCTCCTTTTAGTTTTAAACTTAGTGTTAGTCTATGGATATAGATAACCATTTATAATGCTGGTAATCTCAATAATACTTTCAATGACATCATAACCGACTATGATATCAGCGTTTCCGTTATGCGTTATACGGCCCGAGAATTGATCTCGGGGCCTCTTTATCCAGCAGTTGGACTTGTAGGTAACCTCTGGACTCGACTAAAGAGGTATTTATTTAGGAAAATTAAAACGAATAAGAAAGATTTCTTAAGGTTTTATGTAAAATCTATAAATATAATAAAATCGTAGGAAAGTGAAAACTGTACATTTTTTTTTAAAAGAATGCTTGAGTCGTGATTTACAAGCGATTCCGAAGCTAGAAATATGGTTTTTATAATTATTGTCTGTTTGTCTGTATGTATGTCTGGGTTAAACTCAAAAAGTATTCCATGGATTAACTTAAAATTTTGCACGATTATTACTAACAGGTCGGGTCAACATATAGGCTACATATTGTCACGCTTTCATCTACGGGGGAGGAGCTGCGAATCACTATTCCACGCGGACAAAGTCGTGGGCAAAGCTAGTCCAGAATAAATAAGAAATAAAATATCCAAACACATAATGCGCCATTTATTTCAACATCAATAAATACAACTTCATATTATTATAATTCTCTAACATTTATACATAGTATTATATTATTTACAAGATAATCTAAATATTCATACTTTATATACATCTTTGGCAAATATCTCTGACTAGAGTAGAGGACTAAGGATTTATAGGCAGTTAAAGGTGGGCTTAGGAAATACATTGAATTAATTATATGTAGTTATGGATTGGTTCACAATAATTGTAATATATTTGAATATCTATAAACTTAACAATAATTGAGATGATGACAGGGTATGAAAATTAAAAATCTAATTAGTCCGTAAGTTAGGTAACGAAAAAATATTAGACACATATTTTTTTTATTTTGTCGTATATAATAAAACAATACTTAGATAAAACGAATCAAAGTTTAGAAGTGGGGGGTAAAACGTCATTTCTACGTATAAAATGTACCTACATAGAAGTGACGTCACGTGACATTTCAAATCAATATATCGTCAAAAGTATTCGTTTCTGTTAGAAAATAAATAATACGTGTCTGATGATTTAAAATAATCTACCAGACGGACATTAAAATAAAAATTAGGCATCTACCCTAATTAACGCCACGCTTTCAGAGGTTCTGTAATGGAACATCAATTTTTCACCAGTCTGTTATGAGTTCCATGTAATAGAAATGTTAAAAATATGATTCGGTTGAAAAACCTTCGAAATCCGGAGAAATACTTGATAATATTCAGTCCGATTACGAAATCGTAATTGGGGCGGCTCCTTTTTACTAGAAGCTACATTTGCGACTATAATTAATTGAAATAACTAGTAAAATAAAAACATAACATATCAGCCTTTTATCCCCAAAGGGGTAGGCAGAGGTGCAAATTACGGCACTTAATGCCACCGTACAATGTAACACCCACTTTTCACTATTTATGTTGTGAGTCCCATGTAATAAGGGGTGAGCCTATTGCCATATACCGGGCACAATTCTAGACTCCGTGCTACTACTGAAATTTTTTTTAAACCCAGTAATACTATGCTCGACCCGGGAATCGAACCCGAGTCCCCTTGCCTGGCAGTCGCACTTGCGACTACTCAGCCAACGATGCAATCAGAACAGCAAGAGAGCAGTGTAAAATAATTTCAATGAATATTTCATTAATATGATGCGTAGATGGAAATATTGTGCGTTTAAGACTTGGGATCGATGCACGTGCAATGCAAGACAGCAGCAACAGTTGAATTTTAAAGAGGTACCTACTAATCTAAACATTATTATAAATAGCTTAAATATATGTTCTATAGAGTACAGTCGTACATACATGGCTCATACAAGTCATACAGAGGTCATACAAAAGTCATACATACTTACGTACAAACATTTATTGCTATATACTTTGCAAAATGAACATCACAACCACAGGGTAACTTATAGAAGGTAGAAAATCTGCTTACAAAGGATTTTAAGTCTTATGTAATTTGTGATAAGCTACAAAATTTATTATCTACGCAACAGGTAGGTAGGATACAGAGGGAATATTTGTTTGAAAGTGTCAACAATTACGGAAAAGAATGTTTTAATGTTGAATACATTTTCAACCTTATTGCAGAAGTTTAAGGCTTATAATTGATTAAAAAAGATTTGCGGTAACTTGATGCGTACGTGCGGTTTGTTCAGGAGTACATATTTAACTTAAATTTTACATGAGTGCTTAGATGTGTCCAGTACAACAATTTCATAACGAACCTTTCCGTGATTGGAATAAAGTTTTAAATTGCTTGACAGTGATTAAGTCGATACAGGCTTATATAGTAAGCTATTCCTGTCATCACAAAAATTCAGCACAAATAAAAATAGCTAGGTCATTTCCAAGTCAAGAAAAAACTGAAAACATAGACACAATTTCACTAAACAGCCTATAACATGAATAAATCTACTTATTTACAATCAATGCGTATTTTAAATACTACAACAATAACTTTCATACGATTATATATTTTCTATTAAGTTAATTTATTAAATTGACCGTTTAATATTATAATTATTATATACAAACGTTTCATTTCATTACTATGTTCGAAAAGTCTGTGTAAAGAAACGTTTTATTTTAGAATAAGTATCTTAAAGACACCATACTATATCCTACTCAGACGGAGACATCAGAAGAGTGTAGCCAACCTATTTGGTATGCAGGTCGAAAATGAAGATGGAATCAGTTACAGAGACAGTACTTATTGCTATACTAAAAACAATACTGAATGATTTTTAATGAAACCATATCTCTAGTAACTATTGGTCGACTAAAGCCCGTTTTCATCAACCTCTCTTAAATTTTAAGGAATCCCTAAGTTAGTTAGGTGACATAATGTATAACATTATGGTTTTCATAAATTTTTGTGACACCTAACAGTACAAGCTTACTTGTACTGTTAGGTGTTACGTTTAGTAATTTTTAGTTAAGAGTTGGTTTAGGGGTGGGTACTAGTGGTTTGGTTCTCATAGATAATGGTCATCTATGGCCATCAATCAATTTAATGCGGTTACTAGCTCTGTACTAAGTTCATCTTTATTTTCTTACCTGCTTACTAAATAATTTGACTGACTATACATACTAAAGCAATATTCCACTAATAGTACCTTAGATAAACTACGTAGTTCTCAACTTGAGCTCAGACAATTTATAAAATAAAATAATATTTACACACGCCATTTTGTGACGGCCATCTTGTGTGGACCAATTCAAAATGGCGGATCCTGATTTAAAACTATTAGCAATTTGGAATCAAGTAACACTTGATGGGGTTTGGGAATTAAGCGTATTTATTTATTAAAGTTTTTAAATAATTAAAATTCGTTCTGTGATCTAAGGTAATGGAAATAAGTTCTTCAGAAAAGATTTCTCTGCACTTATCATTCAATCACAGCCGTTATTGACTATATTTGTTATAATATTTTTTCGAACCAAAAATCAATTTTGTTTATGTTCTAGTGTAATTTAGACACATTTTAGCCTTTTATCCTCGAAGGGGTAGGCAGAGGTGCACATTATACCACTGTACAATGTAACACCCACTTTTCACTATTTATGTTATGAGTCCCATGTAATAGGCGGTGAGCCTATTGCCATATACCGGGCACAGTTCCAGACTCCGTGCTACTACTGAGAATTTTTAAAAAAACCCAGTAATACTTTGCCCGACCCGGGAATCGAACCCGAGACCCCTTGCCCGGCAGTCGCAATTGCGATCACTCGGCTAACGAGGCAACTTAAACTCATGTTTGGTCTAATGCAGAAGGAAAACAGAATGAGAGACAATATGTATTTTGTATTTGCTAGATAAATCTTGAGCGAGTCCAAACACAAGTCTAGTCGTAAACTACGTAGTAATCTAAGGGCTAGGTGCCGCAATGGAGTATTTTCCTGAACGCCTTCCTGAACTCAGGGTTGAAGATGGTGTAGATGACGGGGTTGAGGAACGAGTTGATGTAGCCCAGCCACGTGGTCAGGATGAACACCGTCACTCCAGGAGAGTAGGGAAGACCAAATTTGGAGCACATCGCGTCCAGAACTGAGCAGGTGAAGAATGGAGCCCAACAGAAGAGGAAAACACCTGTAAAAGAGAATGGTGTTTAATAAAACATTTAGAGTAATAAGCATAATCTTTAAGACGTTTTAATGTCTCTGTGACGCAATTGAAATCTCGTGTAGCCAATGTCCATATCCATAGGCAGTGACTATTTTTCATCAGGTAATAAGCTTGTCACATTATAATAATATTTGATTGTTTATGTCCTTAGTCCTTACCTAAAACAATGGCGAGAGTTTGAGTTGCTTTCTTCTCTTTCTTGGCGAAGGACTTGGCTCGTAGCTTGCCAGCTCTGTTCGCTCTGAAGATGGTGAACCTGGCTGCTGAGGCTGCACTTCTGAACCGTCTCCGAGGAGTTGAAATGAGGGAGCTATTACTCAGCCGGCTTAGTTTCTTTCTGTGAAAGAAAAAGAAAGAATTCAGATGATATCTTTGGTAAAAGGATTATTAGGGTCTTAATCAAGAACAAAATTAAATTTATTTGGTATTTTGCGAAATGCAACCTTATTTCAAACAGAATTTAGTTCGCGTTACATATTAAACACATCTGACTGACCACATTTAAAAAAATACACACATAATTCTATTAAACTTTCTATCACGTAATCCCATCAACAAATCCGATAATAATGTGCAGAAAATCGTTCCCAAACCAATAAAGAGACCACCCAACATCCTCGATTGAAATATGGATGTCCATTAAAATTGATTTGCTTGGATTTATCAAAAGACCCCCTTTAAAGGAAATGGGGTGCTTCAGAACTTATGGCCGATGGGTTCGACCCATCCTTACTATCACTTGGACATCCGATGACCTTAAAGAAATTGCGTACAAAGATGGTTGCAGTGCAAAATAGTCGTCCTTTATGTCCCTCGTTAACGTAGCTCTATTTTCTGCAGCCTTTGGTGATGAGGAGCAGATGACATGGTTTTTAGTATGTATAATGTACATACACACACGATTATGTAGGTATACACATGGTAGGGTCGGTTGACTTGGGAGTAGGGTTGCCACCCGTACTTTATAATAAACTATTGTACGTTATTTAAGGTAATTGTACTCTATACTTTACAAGAATAATAAAGTACACGAAAATACTTTTTTTGCAAACTTCATTTCTATTAAATTCGTAAGTATTATTCGTTAAACTTATCGATTCGTTATCGATTTATGTTGAATAGATTTCGCCACTCGCCAGCGCCACTTAGACAATTTCTAGTAAAGATGCATTTATTTGTATTTGAATGCAATTGTTTAGTAAAGGTACTAATTTAATACAAACTGCAAAAAGCAATAAAGAATATATTTTTAAATATAATACTAAATAAGACTAAATTGTACTTTATTTTTGTACTGTGTACTTCTTTTTTCAACCCTACTTGCGAGTGCTAGTAACTATTTCCGCTTTGAAGTTAACTTTGTACCGATGTTAGGGTTTTTGTAGGGTTTAACTAAGTAGGTTTTGTTTGTATTGTTACATTTTCCGTTGTCAAGTAGATCGTATCTTTGTAGTTTATTTAAAGGGTAATAATAATTACGTTAAGAGAACAACGAACGGGGTTCTATGGAAGTATGCTTCATAAATAAACTGAGCAAATGATATTTGTCTCTGATAATGAGATATTAAGATCCAAATTACATTCATTCATTACTGTATGTAGACTTCGTTAGTATTTACATTTCTGAATAAACAAGGAAATGTTCATTTCACCGTGTCTTAACCACAGTGAAATGTGAATAGGTGCAAATAGAACTTGGCAATAATAATTTATAGCAAGAATTATATGTGTATACGTCGCCGCTTTAATAGGGATGATGACACATACATAACATCACGCCTTATATCCCCGAAGAGGTAGGCAGAGGTGCACATTATGCCACTGTATAGTGTAACACCCACTTTTCAGTAACAACAGGTACAATGTAACACTCACGTCGTCCGAGTGGTCGAAAGTGTGACTGCCGGCAAGGGTTCAATTCCCGGATTGGGCAAAGCATTACTGGTTTTTTTTAAATAATTCTCAGTAGCACATAAGCTGGAATTGTGCCCGGTATATGGCAATAGACTCACCCCCTATCACATTGGGCTCATAACAACACAACATCACGCCTTTTATCCCCAAAGGGGTAGGCAGAGGTGCACATTATGCCACTGTACATACAATGTAACACCCACTTTTCACTATTTATGATATGAGTCCCATGTAATAGGGGGTGAGCCTATTGGCATATTGCAGTCTCCTATTTTTGATTCTGTTCTACAAACTGTAGGTAAATATCACAGAACTGTGGTAAATATACTCAACCTATTCCGATCATTCACTGGTGATAATAGCGCGAGTGAAATAATCATAATCATTATCACATTTATTAGGTTTACAACTTACAAAACCTTTAAAAGCAGACTTAGAAACTAAACGTATGTACTATTAAAATAGTTTTGTAAATAATCATTTCTGCTACAAATTCTACTTTCTATTTGCACCTCTGAGCTCTAGTAAATACTGTTTAGTTTTCAACTTGCACATAAAGTTTGTATACTGTGTTCAGCTGTTTGTATGTGCATACTTAAAACATATGTATGTGTGTGTTAGTATTGCACATTTTCACGTAATTCTCATGGAAACTTTTGTTTACCTTTTCTGGTTTGCTGAACTCGATATTGTGATCGAATTATTTTCAAAATTCAAAGTCAAAGTCAAAGCATTTATTTCAATTAAACCATAATTTGGTAGTTTTGAAATAAATAATAATCTGTCAGTCAGTCCGTTAGTGAAGCTAGGTGCTCATTCCAAAATGTAGATTCGAATGGAGAAGAATGATCAAGAAACTCCATTCGTTACTCTTTTAAAAAAAGTATGTTCTACAATGTCTCTGATACATAATATTTCAATACTGTACGCATATGTGAGAACAATGCAAAGACACGCTTGACGCATACTAATTACAAAACTTACTAAAATAAAAATAAAAATAAAAAAAGCAAAACAAAAATTATTATTGCTTCGGGATTGTTTTGACTGTAAAGTAAATTAAATATCAATGTATAATCGTTTTCAATCTACCTCTCTGTACTAAAACCCTTTGCCTGACTATAAAATCGTACCTGAGAACAGTTGCTCCACAGCTGCACTCATAACTATGTACTTGACTAACGACACAGTCTATAACTAAGTCAATATTAAGGACAAAACCACAAAACGCACTTAATAAAAAACTTTTCTACAATAGACATTTCGGAAATGAGTTCATACACAAGTCTATTACAAATTCAAAGTCTACTTAGATCAAAGGATGTCAACAAAAACTGGATGAGTAAACTCCCAAGTATTTGAACGTGACCTTTGGAAGAGGAAAAGGTTCTGGCTTGACCTTGAAACTTGAAGGCAAGTTCCCTAATTAGCCATCGATCAAACGAAGTTTAGGCAAATCATTGTGTTTTATTGGTTGAGCAAAGATTAATACGATTGCTACACTGTTTGTTTATTTTACGAGAAGTGTATTGGTGTTGTTTGTTGAACATAACATAACATCACGCCTTATATCCTGGAAGGGGTAGGCAGAGGTGCACATTACGGCACTTAATGCCGCTGCACAATGGAATTGTGCCCGGTATTTGGCAATAGGCATAACATAAATAGTGAAAAGTGGGTTTGTTTGAACAAGGTGGGAATTTCACAATCATCATCAGCTTTTTTAAGGGGGGAAAAATCATCGAATGACTTCTCCCACCTGGGTGAGGCGGGAGTGAGTGTCAGTCTCTTACTGACTAAAAACCACCCCTTTCTTACTTTTGCAAATCGAGTCAGAGCCCCGGTAACCTTTTACGTTCTCCATGACACCATTTGCTGATTACCATCAGCTTAAATGCTAGCACTGGGCAAAGGCTTCTTCTTGCACAAAGAAGATATATGTATTATTGTTTTAATTATTGTACACTAGACGACCCCCTTTATCAAACTCCTGAATACTGGCTCCATCCAAAGGTTGTCTGGAAGAAATCGCATTCTGCGATAAGACCGCCCATTGTGCACATTCTTTTATGTTTGTTTTTTTTTTATGTATGTTTTTATGGTGTACAATAAAGTGTAAAATAAATAAATAAATAAATATTAGTCACCACGTTTGCTCAAGTCGCGTTGGCTTTTATTTGGAAAATATGGTATTTTCTTACAATGTTCTAATTGTATGAATATTATGAATATAGATGTAGTGAATAAATTAATGTCTCTACGTGATATGGACGGAGGTAAATTCGAGTTACACAACATTGAACTATATTTTTCCTTCTACCGACATTAACGACAAATTTATTATTTTATGCAGCGGGTTCAATGCTCCCACGGAGCAACTGTTTATGTGATGCACAAATTGTTGTTTCGGGTTTGGGTGTCATGTGTATGTGAACTTGTATGTTTGTAAACGCACCCACGACACAGGAGAAAATCCTAGTGTGGGGAAACGTTTTTTTAAAAACGAATATAAACAAATAACAAGCTCATGACTGTTATTCAAAGATTCTGTCCATAGTGTACATCCCTTAAAGTAGCCATATTATATTACATAGCAATAAACCGTTTCCCTCATAGACAACAGCTTAAACCACCCTCATATAGCTTGTAGTTGTTCCATGACAAAACTAAGGCACTTATCTTTAATACCACTATAAAATAACTCATAACACAATATCTTTACCTATTGTACTCCATAAAGGTCTTAAAAGATAACATCAGATGTTCTGCATAACTGTGTAAGACTCTTATCAAATTGAGGTCTTTGGACCTTAAGTACCGTGTTGAATAAACATGTACATAATATTGTTATGACAAAGTCAATTGCAACAAGTAATACATAAATTAATTCTTTCATAACTATGTTTAAAAATGTCGTTCGTCATGTCGTGGTGGCCCGGAGGTTAAAGCGCCCGCTTCTCATGAATGAGGGTGCCGGTTCGAAACCTACCAACGGCTAATACCAATGTGACTTTTTCCGAGTTACATCTACTTTCTAAGATTATTTAGACATCACTGACAAACGGTGAACGAAAACATCGTGAGGAAACCTGGGCTTATAAATTCTAATTATAAGTTTGAAATCGCCAACCCGCATTGAGCAAGCGTGGTAATTAATGCTCAAACCTTATTCGTGTGATGATGATGATGTTTAAAAAACGACTTCAACACCTCCCTTTTTTGAAGTCGGTTAATTAATATGCATTCTCCTATGTGTAATAAACACTTTTCTGAAAACCGCATCAAATTCGGGTCAGCCAATTACGAGATAATCGCGTACAAACATACACACATTAAGATCAAACTGCTGAACCTCCTTTTTTCCGTCGGAAGTCGGTTAAATATATTTTTATGTTAATCGTTTAGAACAAGACACAACGTAAC